TTGTCTTTTTGTTTTGGTGAGAACTGCTCAGTATATCATTCTGAAGATTTAAACTGTGGTGACTTTATTGATAGACTCCTTTCTTCTTCCTATTAACAGTTCTGAAATTGCTTTGTTTCTCAGAGCTGAAAGAAATGCTGAAAAGAGATGACACATTATCAACAGAACATCATGATCTACTTGATTAGCCCTCTCTATCAGTCCGGGCTCATTAAAAAGAGTGAAATATAGCACTTGGTGCTGGTTTCTCAATCCCCGTAATGAGAAACGAGGGCTGTTGTGCATTATACGTCAATGCCATGTGAACCCTACACAGCCGATCAAACACAAAGAATGTCATTTTTGCAACATTTGTCCCTGTGCTATACATAGTGTATGCTAGGTTTGAAGATGGTAGATTTTTTCTGTGCGTTTTTATGAGCGTTGTTTAAGTTTTCACGCGCTTAGAATCATGGGTATAGTATCACGGAGGATTGTGATAATCCCGTATGTTATGGTCCAACAGGTTAATACATATTTGTCGATTTTTCTAACGGACTTTTTCTAAAAAGGTCAAGAAAATTTACAATATGTCGTAGTTTTAACAATTTTAGTATTTTTCATATAAACAAGAAACTACCCATAGATTAATTTATCATACCGAATTTAGTAATATGCGAAGTTTCATATGAGTCTGTTGCAAACTCATGAAAATATGGGACCCCAAAACTTGCCAATTTTACAAAGAAATGTATGCCAGGACGACACAGGCGTCGCACATTTACAAAACTTGGCATGATCATTCGAGCGGTAGGGCTATTTTTCTTTGAAGGAAAAAAATCGAGAAAGCTTGGCATCGTCAAACAGGCCCATTTCCTGAATCTAGGGGATAAAAATTGGTTTCAAAAAATGTATCTTAATATAATTACATTAAGTGGCATCTGGAGAATATTCGATAATAAGCTTTCGAGAGATCATTCTTACGGAAAAATACATGCATTCTTGCTGCATGTAGAGTTGAGTGAAAGCGCCAGCCATTGCGTGTTGTGTGAAGCTGCATTGCATCGTCTGGTTTGGCAACATTTTTGAGCGAACGTGTATCGTTTTGCTACCCAGGGATTGCCGTGTGTACAATCCTATGGACTGTGTTAGATCCAGTGTGTAAAATAATAAACATAATACAAACAAGAAACGACGAGTGAAATTAATTGGAAACAACGAACGTGAGATTCTTGGGGTGATGTTGTTCAAAACGCGACGTATGCGAATTGGCCTCTTTCATTTTCCTCAGTTTTGTTGTTGTTGTTGTTGTAATTAATGCAGAGGTTTTCCACTGCCTTTTTTCATTAATAAAATAGAACAAATAATAATATATTCTTTATCAGACAGTTGGAGCAGGGTTAGCTTGTTTTTGCTGTAAATTTTCATGAATGAATTAATGAATGTTTTTACAAGGTTATAGTGTTTTATAGAGATCTTGTTGCTGTTTTTATGCTTTGGAAGTGTCGAGAGCGAATTCAACTTTTAGTTAAAATTAAAATTTAGGTGAAGAAGAATTTAAGTGAGTTGTGTTGTGCACCTGACTGCGAAGATCATTCTTGTCTTGACAAGAATTTAAGTTTTTCAATTTTTGAAAGAAGTGGCAACGACTTGTTTACCTTGTAAGTATTATTTATTGGTGGACAATTGTTGTTGAATTTTGTTTTATTTATGTTAAATCATTTTTGTAGTAAAGAATTTAACATAGATGCTCGTCTTCTGTTAAAATCCACTGGTTATTTGTAGATGGGCGTTTCTAACTTTTTGTTTCAGTACTTGTTTCAGTATTTATTGTAGTTATTTATTTCAACATTAGAGCACTTAATGCAGTTTCCTTTTTCCGCCACAACCAACGTTACTTTTTTTCATTGAAGGATTTTTGAATTAAAAGTGTGAGCGAATATTGATTGTACTTGTGTTTTCTGCAGTTAGCACTGTCTCATTAGTCAATAGTCTGAAAATCAAACCTCTGTCGTTGCGCGATTGTTTTAGCTGAAGTACATTTATTCTGGTCAAAGGCACACTATCATGGCAAGCAAACAGTGTTCGTATTATGAAGTATGTTCGCTCGAGCACGAGATGCTCCACACGAAGACACGACGACAGAATTTGAAAACGTCTACGAGACTTTTTCAACTTGACATCACTACTTTATACATGCCTAGCCCATTGTAACACTCCTTTTATATAGTGTAGCTTCATTGCACTTGTAAGCTGAAAGAAGGAGGTTTACGCTTCCTTGACTTCAAGAACTCGAAATGTTGGAAAAACCGATGAGCGCGCGTACGTAAATTTCAAATGGCAATTCACTCGACGTGAAGTTTAATACTCCGTAAAGAAATTACTGGAAACCATTGTTTGTAGCAAATCTCAGTTAGAATTCGGCCTCCTCAAACACAAGATTCCATGTTGAAGTCCTGGAACTACAAACTTAAAGACTTTGGTTAAAATAAAATCCAAAGGCCACTCTTACGAAGATAGACGCAAATCAAAGTCTGCATTGATTCTTCTTTTTTTCCCTCTTCTGAATGCCTTTTGCCTCTAGTTTCCCCACGTATTCGCTCTGTAGTATACCTTGCTTGACTTCACGTGCAGCAAATAATCTGACAACACCCTTAAAACGCCAAGATAGAGCGTTTTCACGAGACGTCATCAAATTCTTAAATCCAAAACTAAAGAGCCACTTACGTTTTTATCCTCATCAGGCATAAGAGGTACTAATTTTATATCTATTTACAACTTTCCGGCTCAATAGCGTCCATCGTTTGGAAACTAGGGCATTTTGAATTTCAGAGTTATGGCGGTGCATGACGTAAAGCTACGATCGCGTTTGTCGAAAAATATATATTTATCTCCTGATTTTTAGCCATTTAAGACGTTAAAGTATTTTGAAAAGTGCTTATTTAAATGTTTGTTTGTTCAGTGCAGTTAATCAGTGTCCTAGATAGCCAAAGTAAGTTCCAGATGTTAACACTATTTTTCGACCGCCATATTGGTATACCACAGAGGAACACCAACATGGCGGCTCCATACTAGGCTCTGTAAATTTGCGCGGAACATTTCGACGAATATTTCAACTTTGGGACAACGCACACTCCTTAAACTCGGAGAACTGTCTTCTTTATTTACCTTCTATGATATCACAATTTCTTGACTTTATCCACTGAATGGTTTTTGATTTTATCTGTTTTGCACGAAGTTATATAAGTCCTTGCGGGATTATGTAAGGTCCCTAGGGACACATGCCTCTATAAAAGGGAACGTTATTTCATTAAAAAACACTAAGCCGGACAGAGAGAGTATCATAACTTGCGCAAGGTTTACGGCCGGGAAAAGTTTACAAGAATTGTAAGTAGAATTATGACATAATTTTCAGGTTGTACTTTTGTATTAGTTCAAGGTCAATTACGACAATTACGGCACAGAGCCTCAAAGTAATTGTAATTCATTTCTTTCAGTTTGACTCTATACTTCTAGACAGAAGGAGTGCAAAAATGAAACTATTTCAAGTCCAAACCATTATCTTTTATTTCATGACAGTGAAAACGCTCTACAGTCATCAAGATCAGTTCACTCTAACAAGGCTTAGTAATCCAGTGCGCCCCTCTCTCCCCGCCCTGAACTTATTCTCATTAACTCCTAAATTATTTTTAAATTAGTGGGGCAATGATTATTTTGTTAGAATTTGATATTTTGTGCTAGGAATAGACACGTGATCTGAAACGTCGAGACCGTGCATTTGTCCGGACGGGATGACGACCGTTATGATGGTTGTTGATGAAAAGGAAGAGGAGCCAGTCTGATTAGTTGTCCCATTTATAGATGGACCAAAAAGTCCTGGACACGAATTTAAAATTTGCTACCAAATGGCTTGTAGAACTGGACCTTTTTAAGTCAAGCTACACAAAAGCGTTTGCTTTGGATCAGAATGAAAAAACCGAAACATCTGCGTTTACCTGTACCCGCAGAGATTAAATAAAAAGTTTTAAAGTACAAATGTTCTCAGGGATTCTCAAAGATATTTTGGACACGCACCTACAGACTCTAGCCAAGCGTTTACCTGTACCCGCAGAGATTAAATAAAAAGTTTTAAAGTACAAATGTTCTCAGGGATTCTCAAAGATATTTTGGACACGCACCTACAGACTCTAGCCAAGCGTCTATGCATCGACCGGAGGCTTGGTAGCTGAGGTCCGTAACTTGAATGTTAATAAACTATGATAAATAAAAAAATGTGCTTTTCATTGCAAACTGATTCATTCACATGGAGAGGGAAGAGATTGGTCAGTTCCTACATCCTGACACCGTAAATATAAACCTTTTCCTGCTGCTAAATGATTGATATGACTACGCACTGAAAACTTCATACCATTGATGATAATAAATAGCTGACTTAACGAGTTTTAACACTTAACAGAGATTACTACTAAACTGAACGAGCGGCTTTGAAATGACTACGGTAGAACCAAAACCAAAACAATTACATTCAGTTAGAATACTCAATAAATCAGAAACCGTACAAAACCAAAACAAAAACCAAAGAAAATGACTGATTACTTTCGAAACTCAATTGAAAACCGCTCTAATAATCCATTGCACAAAAACATTCAAAAGAAGCGACTTTTTAAAGTCGCATAAAACAAAAATTCCTAGGCTCGTTGTAATAGGTTGGAATTTTGTACAGAGACCAGACCGATTATATCAAAGAATGGATAGTAGAGTGTCTTTGGCACCGATCATAAAAGAAGGTTGTAATGGGGGATTCCGTTGACATAAAAGCTAGAAATTTTGTTAAGCAGCAGGTTAGATTGTCATGCTTTGGAACTAACCCATGAACAGGTACTAGGCTTTCGTCACAAAATGAATGTGTTTTTTTGTGTGTTTGTAATCAAAAACAAGAGTACATTTTGCAGAATCATTTCATCGGAATAGCTGCAGTCTTCGTATTCTTCTTCCCCAACTGCAAGCGGACCTCCATCGCCAGGTACAAAATTACAAAGGTTCCAAGCAGAGCGAACCAAACCGCCCACGCTGCCACTGGGGCCACGGCAAGGAAAAGACCAAGGGTGATGTTAATGAGAGCCAGAATAAGACCAAGACGGCCCACATTTTTGTGGAACAACTCCCAGATTAATCGGCCTGTTGTCCTGGTGCCATCAGGGTGTTTATGAGGACGACTGAAAAAAACATACATAAATTAGTGAAGACTCCGCGTGCTCTATCAAAAATACCGGAATCTGATTGGCTCTGTTGCCCACTGTCATCTACCCTCTGACAGAACACAATCGCGCGCAGGCGTCTTTTGAAAACGTTCAAACTATTCTTAATTTTTGGCTTCAAATTACAATTAGTCGACAATGTACATTAAAAAATCTACTGAAACAACACTACTCGCCCTCGTTTTCCATGAACGATAGACAAAACGGTTGTGCCTCGTTGGATATTCGCTCACAGAAAACTCGGCTTTAGTTTTATTTGTCAATTAGCTCGGCCAAGCAGTGTTATCAGTCTTCAAACGAGAGAAAGTTCATTTTTGAGGAGGCCATTTCAGAACATCCTTAAAGTTATTTGAATTTTAAGGAACGAGTCATTTTTACCAAAGATACTCAGATTATAAAATCGTAAAACGGCAATGAAAGACTTTTCTGGCTTTTGATCAACAAATCAGTGCTTGGCCCCCACGAGGTATATAATATCGGAATAAAGGCTGTTTTAAGAGGTGAAACGCTGTTGTACAGGCTAGGAATATAGCATTCTAAAGAAACGACGAGACCAGTGAATTATCTGTGGAAAATTGGAGATTCGATACCTATTTCAAGTCACTGAGTTGAGTAACTAATTACTGTGTTGTAGACTCAGCTTTAAACCAAACGTTCTCTGGAGCAAGGGCGCCCTAGTTGGTGGTTTCCCTCGCCCATTTTACTCTTCGCTAAAAACTTAATCCGTAAAATTACAATCAGATTTCCCCAGGAAAAGCACAATTGCACGACCTTCGGTTCAACATAAAACTGAGTCAACTGTTGAACACTTACACAAGGGCATTGAGAGGTTGTGTCACACCAATGATCATGATGGCTACGCCCAGTCCTCCATGAGCAAACTTCAAATGATCAAACGGAACTGACATAATGGCACAAATAAAGCCTGCAATCGCCAATAGCAGACCCGACACCTGTAAAAGGAAGAAATGCCCATCAATACTTTTTTTTTAAAATGCACATTTTTAATTAACACAGCCTGGTAGAAGGCTAAGAATACATTATTACATTGGATAGTTTCGTCTGTATTATTTTAGGGCAGTGTCTTTTCCCGCCAAAATTGTGTACAGCTTGGTTCGCGTCGTGGCATTCTGTAGACTTCCCACCAAAAGATTCGGGGAGCGAAAACGCTTGCCCGTGCTACATGTATCAAGTGAATTCAGTCATAATCGCCTCGGTACGCTTGATTGAACGGATCAAAAGACTCAAGCAGACAAGCATCAACGTTACATCACTGTTGAGAGAGCAAGGATGTTAAGGATTCCACTTACTTGAAAAATTCTGTGCATCTTAAACCACCATCCTTCTGGTTCTCTGTGCCGGAAGTAACGTGCAATGAAGGCGCCAGCTTGAAGAAGGACACCCCAACCAAGGAACATGAAGATACCATGGAGTGCAATCAGGTTAAAATCTGCAGAGCCACACCCACCAGCAGATGCAGTCTTATCAGCCTCTGAAACATCACCCTCTAGGAGCCAGATGTCATTAAGTGATCCTTCACCACTGAAGAAAGAAAAACATAAGTACATAGTCAGTGTGTCTGGAAATGACATACATTGGAAGCAGGGGGAGGGGACAGGGTATTGCCAATTTTAAGTTTTGTGCAGGTCTTTGATATTCCACATAGGTACTTGGTTGCAATCTTCATCAATCCTACATTATTAACTAAACTAAACGGAAAAATGCAGAGAAACACCGCTAGACTGTTCAGTTGGCTACTTTATTATATTCTAGTTTTCCCTATTTTGGGGGGGTTTTTATAACAAAAAATTATGCCACTCGCAGTTGCAGTTGGATGGTAATATTTCTTTTATTTTAGGAAAAGAAATTTTCTTACTCTTGGCCTGAGCCACCAAACATCATGATGCCTTGATCTGTTGTTACCATCACATGGCCTGCTCTCCTTGCTGGAAGTGAAGTGCCCTAAGCAAACAAAAATTTAGACCAAGTTATTTTAAAACTGATAATAAAATAATTGAGAAATAAGACATAATATGTATGAATAGTACATTGCCATTGAAGTTGATTACTGTGAGAGGCACAATGGTGTTGTAAAGTGCATTGGACTCCAGATCAAGCTGTCCAGGTTCAAGCCCTGGTGGGGTTATTGTGTTTTGTTTTCAAGCAAGACACTTTACTCTCACAGTGCCTCTCTCTACCAAATACATAAATGGGTACCGGCAAATTAAAAATGCTGTTTGCAATAATTAGACAATGGAAGCATCCTAGTTGCTTCATGCTCTAGACCAGAGCGATTAATTAGCACTGGGCTGATGGGATACTAGACTAGAATACAGGCTTAAACTAAAACAATTATATTAGTCCCCTTCCCATAAGCTTCTAATACCTTGTGTCCCTCACAAGGAATAGGGAGCTTAAGCAAACCACGACGACGACGGCAACGAGAACGTCGCTAAACAAAAGATTTAATGAGCAAAACAATATCCATGCACGTGCGTTATAAATCTTTGTACATTTCTTTGCCCTCCTCTGCAAAATAACGTGAAATGACCAAGTTCTGCGTCGTCTCCGGAACGTGGACTACGAGGGCTAATTTTTCGTATTTTCATTTGGAATTGAACGCTGTCGTTGCATATTTAGCTTAACCACGTTTTTAGAGCCATTGGCGTACTGAACAAATCTGGACAATCGCGAATTTCGCTTGTAAAATGTAAATTCATTTTTTTCTCGGCGTCGTCGTCGTCGTCGTTGTTACTTAAGCTCCCTAATATCACTAAAAGTTTATTAATTAACAGAGTAATATTTTAGCTATAAATAATGCATACAAAAACTGCATGGAATAACTAGGGCATGTTTGCCAGTAGTCAGATGTACTTTAATTCATTAGATACACCATACCTCCACTTTTTTCCTTTCCCACTCGTTTGTATCAGGATTAAACACAGCTATCTCATTAGCCTCATATCTTGATGTCTTAAGAGAGGAAAAGAATAAACAATAAAATTATACCACTTAACCAGATCAATAAGAGATAAGTATCCCAAGCAGTGCATGTTTCAAGTCCAGAGGCCCGTTTCTCGAAGGTCCCGAAAAGTTTTCGCACCCGAAAAGCCATGGCAAAATTTCAAACCTTACGACTGCAGAGCTGTTTTATTCATATATTCTTAATATGAACAGTGGTTCCTTTCTTACAAGAAGTTTCAGGCGTATACATTTCTCCGTTTTTAGCTAAAGATGAACTAAAAATGGCTTTACGGGCCCGAAAAGTTTCCGGGGCTTTCGAGAAACGGGCCCCTGGTCAGGGTCATTGCATTGTGTTGCTAGGGGGTTGGCGGGAGGGGGGGTGGGAATAATTATGGTCGCGTTATGCCATTAAAATATTAAGCACCGGTCTGAGGGGCCACTAGGCTTGAGCACAGACTTACCACTAACACAGATTTGCTCGTTTCTGCTCCCCCATACAGCACTGCTCGACGTTCAGTGCCATTAAGTGGAGGCAGCATAGCCATTGATGAATACATCCGTGGTGTGGAACACTCCTCCAAGCGAGTCCAGTCTGTTTTGGTGGCATCAAATTTCCAGTTATCTTTGGAAGGACATGAACCACCTGTCATTCCACCCCTGAAAGAAATTTCCAACAAATTTTCATCATGAATCTACTATTTCAAGCTAATTCTTGGTAAGTAACACAAGGAAATTTACAATATTTTTCCATAAAAGTTTGTTCTCAAAAATGACACATTAATATAAAATGTATGTCATATTATACAACCATAAGTTTGTAGCACATAATTTCCAATAAATTTTCATTATGAATCTACTATTTCAAGCTAATTTTTGGTAAGTAACACAGGGAAATGTACAATATTTTTCCATAAAAACATATATTGTTAAAGATGAACCCCACCACTGCTCCCCTAAAAACGGCAAGTATGAACCCCCCCCTCCCCCCCCCCCACTCGCCACCCCAAATAAAGACGTGAGATAAAAATATCCCGTATCAAACTTCATCATGTACATAAATCTCTAACACCCACGATGGCCTTAGAGTTTGCCCCTTTCCCACCCGAAAAATGCACCGGCTAATAAAGTAAAACAAAAAATCTGTCCAAATTGCATATTTTCTATCCCAAAAAATCGTTGGTGTGCACTCTTTACGCGTAACTGTTGTAGGCTACCTGAAATTCTACCTCCACTGTGTTAATCTAACTTGACCCACATTGTTTACTTTAAAATGTTGCTCAACAACAAGCGATATATCTTACCCCAGACAACCTCCATACATGACAAGTTCATCTGGGTTGGTCACAGTCCCAGAGTGTAGACATCGGGCATGTGGATAGTTAGGATTGTAGTTGTTCGAACCGGAAAATTTTTCTTCCCAAACATTGTCGTCGAAGTTAAACTTGAAAGTGTTTGAGTATCGCGTACCGGAAAAGCCGTGAGTGATGTAAAACCCGTTAACACCTTTACCATCGTTGAAGATTCCACCGGCTGACCCATAACGTTCTTGGGGCTTCACCTCAGAGTTGTTCCCCAACCTCGTCCATTGTTGCGTCGAAAACTCATAGCGAAAAATATCGTTGAAGAACCGCCTCGGTGAGTCAGAATCGCCAGAAAATTCACCTGTCGCTACGTAGAAATTGTCGCCCTCTGTGCCGTAAACCATACTGAAGCGTCGCTCCGGGATGTTGACTCCACCGTCGGTCGTAGCGGCCACTTTCGTCCAATTGTTCGTCCCCAAATCGAAGATCCAGGTATCATCATAATTTTCATCGCCTCTGCCGCCAAAAATAACCAACTGCTTTTTCGTTTGGTCAAACCCGATCGATGAATCTCTCCGAGGCGCAGGGAATTGGTCCGATTCCTTCGTCGCTGAGATTAAGCGCCATTTAAGCTGCGAAGAAACGGCTGGGACCAGCAGCAAGAGAATCAGAGTTCTTAGCATGTTGAAGGCTGTGTAAAAATGATCGATATACAGTGCTTCCTGTATATACTTTTATGCCGTGCGGAATTTACATTTATTGACAGCACGTAATGTTTATATGGTAAATATGGTAATTCACATTGTGATTTGTTCGGGCTTTAATAATATTGGACCGCTCATTTACGTCATCGTGACTTAGCAGAAATGATTTTCGGTCTGCAGCATGCAATCACACTAGCAAAATATCAAAAAGACTGCCGGACGGTTTCCTTGGAAAACATGTTTTAACTGTATTTGACAAGGTTTTGCAATGTAGTTTGGTTCAGGGAACCGAATGAAAGAGAAATGTGACACTCATCCGAAATGAAAACACAGCAAAACCAGTCATCACTCATGCGTTACAAGCGGTCACTACAGCAAAATGTAATAATAATCGAGACATTAATTTTTTTTTTCGTCGCCATTACGCACTGAAACCTTTTCACTCTATGTACGTCTAAATTTATCTTATTTCTCATCGCTAAATGATGCTTTTTTTCTCTCTCTCTTTTGTTTTGTTTTTTTTTCGTATCCGTTAAAGGTAACACGTGAAATGACGTTGACAGTGATATTTGTGCTTGCTTTGGTTACGGCCGAACAAAGTTAAGATGTTGTTTGAATAATCCGCACCGTCATTTTATAAAACACAGTAATGTGTATTCATGAACCATTTTAATCCTTTGTAAGCATTCCAACTGAAATGCCAGTGAAATGCCCTGAGTGGACGGGAATGCACTGTCATCACAAGCAAGAGGGTCTGTTTTGTTTCATTTCATAACATTTTTGTTTTTTCACGTTGGACTTCAAAATAACTTCTAATTTATGCATCTTTTTTTAAAAAAAATTATGATATAAACTCTTGAATGCTTTTATTATAATTTTACAGTTGTCTGCTTTTCGACGAAAGCTGATTGACGTTACGTTCGGTCCATCTAATGCTTCACAGTTCTATCCAGATCTTTTATAAATAGTTCATATTAAAATATACCATCCTGGAGCCTGCCTCGTCCGGTCCGCTCCTCTCTTACGCACTTCCTACCTGTAGGCACATCTGTCTGAAGCTCTTTGTTCACATGTTCCAGAGCCGATGTTGAGCGCCATTACCTTCCCGTTGAAAAAAACTTTCGGGGTTTTCCGGCTACCGACCACTCATTTCTTATACCTTATTACAAGAAATTTTCGCGACACGTTAATTTCGCGAATTTCGCGATTTAAAAAAAATCGCGAAATTTAAGTGACGCGAAAATTAAATGTCGCGAAATTAACATGACGCGAAAATTAAGT